TATATATATATAATTTACCATTATGGAAATCAGTGTGGAGACTCCTTAAAAAACTTGGACCAGAAAGCTCATTCAATCCAGCTATCCCCCTACTGGGAATTTTCCCAAAAGAACTGAAAACATTATATCATAGTGATATATGTGCACCTATGTTTCTAGCAGCACAATTTGTGATATCCAAATCTTGGAAGCAAACAAAATGCCCATCACCTGAGGAATGGATGAAAAAGATGTGTTTTTATACAATGGAATATTACTCAGCTATAAAGAATTATAAACCTGAAGCCTTCATATATAAGTGAATGCAACTTGAAGATATACTCATAAGTGAAATAAACCAGACCCACATGTGTAAATATCATATAGTCTCCCTATTGTAAGAACTCAAAAGAAGAAATAGAAATTGAAAGGGAAGTCTTTAAAATTTCAGATTTTCCCATAGTGACTTTTATGATCCTTTACGAATGAATAGCTCACTGCCTGAGAGAAGTTACCTGGCAACCCCAGAGCCATCTTTCTTTCTGGGTCTTGCGTGTTTCGCCCTGGGTGGAGCTGGCTGGGGTACCAGCTAACAATGTCACTGTGTGCATTGACAAACTGACCTCCCCTCAACTCGCCAGGGACTGGCCATGCACCAAGGAGGCAGAGCAGTGGTGGTGGCTACAGAACAATAAAGACTGGCTGCTGAGGCCAGAAGTCTACCTTCCTTGCCTGTCTCCAGCCACGTAGACAGAGTGCTGTGAAGAGCGTGGCAAAGCTACGGATAGGTGGGAACCTGCATTCTCAGGGCTCCTTGTCTCCTCTTGTTTAATAGCCCTACATGCGTTTGTGGTCCCATCTTGCTATCTTTTTGTTTAATCAAATTCCATGGTACTTCTGTGGACTGATGTTATTTTAAAAATAAATAAAAGGAATCCATCGTTAACTGTGAAAAAAAAGAATGAATAGCTAGTCATTTTCAAAACAATTTAAAACCCCTTCTTTTGCCACTGCTCTAAGAGATTTTGGTAGTTCAGCAATTTCCAGGAGTAAATAATTAGATACTACTTCTTATTTTGTTGCCTGAAATATTTTCAAATATGACTGCTTCTTTGTGGTGCCAGTGCACTGGACTCCAAGCCAACCTGACCACATACTTGCCTAAATGCCTACTATAGCCCTCTGACCCCAAGTCACTGCTCTAATCACTTTCCACAAAATACCCAGGCTGGGCACAGTCATTTCAGGACACCTGCTAGCTGATCCTGTTCTGTTGTTTTACTGCTTAAAACTCCTCAAGGACCCTCGACCGTCCTTCAGATAAAATCTCAGATTTTTCAACAGGTCAAAAACTCTACCTCCTCACCTGGAACCAGCTTCTTTCAGTTCTTGGAAAGAACCTAGGGGCCATGGAGATGGCTCAGTAGAATAAGCGATTACCTGGAAAGAACCCAGTTTCTTTTGTGTCTTTGCACACAATTAACTCCTCTCAGCATTTTCTCCTCCCTTTCAAATTTTCCTTCATTTCTTAGACTTAATGTCCTTGCTCTACTTAAGCCTATGTTAGCATCCCACCCATTGTAGTTGGTTTTTCAAGAGAAAAGATTTAATACAGGCCACATTCTTTACAGGATTATTTTGTAATATTCATTCCATGAGTCACTGTAAGAGTGTGGGAGATCTGTCCACAGACTAGACACCCAAAGAATCAACCCCAGAGCCTGGATCCCACAGCAATGTCCTCCATAAGTCTGGCTGGAGGCCTACAACTCACAACAACGTCTCATACAAGTATGTATCAAGGATCTGCTCTGGGCATGCCCATAGGTCAGTGATGGAAGCTAGAAAATCTGTGCAAGAGGGATGAAGGCTCTGTGCTAGCAGGCTGAGGGATCCGCACTGGAGTTAGGAAGCGATGCTCAAGGCAAGGACCAGAGCTCCCCTGAAGACAACTGCAGCCATCCTCAGTGACAGTGAAGATCTGAGCTCCTCTGATGATGAAAACAGTTCATATTAGGAAAACCTGTGAGGCAGGCTTCTCCAGCAGAATCAACAGCACACCATCTTCCCCTCCAGTTCTGCTTTTAGGCTGTTGGCAGAGATGCTCATCTGGGCCTTCCACATCCAGAACCACTCTAACTCAGTTCAGCTGGGTGGTACAAGTTCACCTTTAGTTCATCCCCTATGTCACCCCAGGTCAATGCTCCTTATTAAACATTTTCTTAGTACATCCCACTTAGCTTTGTAGAAGTGGTTGCATGTGTAATAGATAGTTTAATTTCTCTCCACTGTTGTAATGGAAACTTTCTGAGAGTTTGTGACACACTTTAGCACATACAAGTAGTGCTGGAATCTTGAACCCAACTTTTTCCTGCTCACAACTACCACAGATACATAAATCTACTCACATGGCAGATGGATTTTTTGCCTCATTATTTTATTTATTTTTATTATTGTTATTTTTAATGTACTTAGTACAGGGTCTACAGAGTCTCACTACATAGATCAGACTGGTAGTGATCCTTCTGTTTTCAACCTCACAAGCACTGGGATTACAGGTGCACGCCACCACGCCCTGCCTCAGTTGCCATCTCAGCGGGGCCCAGGGGCAGGGCTGGCAAGGCACGCTGGGGGGATCCAACAGCGGTCCCTGAGCTTTCCTAAGCACGCATTGGTCTATTATTTTATGATGGTTAAGTAATGATATAGGGGAAACCAAGATTTGAATAGAAAACTTATAATATTGCTGAGCAAATTGTGTACACCTCAGGTGTTTTTTTCCTCTGGGAAGTTACAGGCAGGCTGTTCAGACTACAGGCTACAATCATTGAGCTGATTTAGTGTCCTATACTCCTGATGTAAATAAGGGTGGCATTAACCACCTTACACCGTGGTAAAGCACTCATTTATTCAACGTTCATTATTATTATTATTATTATTATTATTATTATTATTATTACTAATTATTGTATTTGGTTGTTACAGGGTCTCACTATGCAGCTTGGACTCGTGGTGATCCTTTCAGCCTCCCCAGCGCTGGAATTATAGGCATGCGCCACTATTCCTGGACTCTGTGGCCAGCTCAGCCTGCCCTAGGGGCGGGGCTGGCGGGGCATGTGGTGCCGGGGATTGAACCGCGGTCCCTGTGCTTAAGCAGGTGCTTTAGTCTGCTGAGCTATGTCGCCGGCCCCTCAACGTTCATTTTAATGAGAACCTAAGATGCGGTAGGTCCTGGGACTACAAATGCAAATTATGATGTAAAATGTCTAGTAGAGTGCCTCACTTATTTAATGTTACAGGTGGTCACTTTAAAATGTCATACCTGTGTGTAGATGGTTGCTTGTGTCACCAAACTGGACTAAGATTAGTGACTTTTGTCATTATGCCGGTAGGGGTCACTGTAACTCTTCTAGCCTAAGAGTCCGGGCTATCAAAGCACGACGTGGCCGCCCTTCCCCTCCAAGCCGCCAGAGGGCGCGCGATCTCCACCACCCTGCCCGCCGCATCTGCGCATGCGCGTCACTAGCCGCTCTATCTACGTCGCGGTCTGTCAGATGGCTGCCACGCCCCAAACCGTAACGCTCCGCCTCTGTTGCCCCTAGCGGCTGTTTGTTGACTTCCGGTAGCGCGGTAGTAGCAAATGCCGAGAGGGTCGCTACGGGGGGTTCGTGGGCTTCCGCGGCCCCGAGTGGGGATGCGGTCGTACCCTAGGCCCCACCGAGCCGCCCCTGCCATCTTCCCGGCCCAGCTGCCTCGTCCCTGTATCACCCGCGGCATGGGGGAGCCCGAGACGCAAGTGCCCGGTGAGTCGCGCTGGCGGCGAGGCGACTGGCGGGGGCGGGCGGGACGGTCTGCGGGCGGGCAGGAGGGTGGCTCCGCCTCCGGGCCGCCCCGTTAGGGTAGCGGCGGGAGCCTGAGGCACCTGACTGAGCTGGGCTCCGGCTAAGGCCGGCGCTGGGGCCAAGCCTTGGCGAGTGACTGAGGGGTGAAGTCTGGCGCCCGCGGGAGCCGCTGGGGAAGGGGTCTCGTTACAGGGTTGCGACCCGTTTCTCGACGGCGAGTACACGGCTTACGTACTTCAGACTCGCGTATTCCCGAGGTCGCCAGCACCTAGCTGTGTATTAGAGCCATAAAGGATGGGTGGGCGGGGATTGTGAGGGGAAAGGAGAGAAGAGAGCCGTTAGCGAGTTTTCTCTTTTAAAAAGACTTTCCCCTTCAGCCCTGCAGTTGGAAATACATTCGACTTTATCTGTTAAGCAAGTACTGTTAACAGAGATAGATGTCTCACGAAGCAGCCATTACTTGTTCCCACCATTTGGGATGCGCTCAGAGCATTGTATAATATATTCGGTTTAAAATACTGACTGTGACTGTGGATTTATTGACTTAGTAATGTGTAAAGACCAAGAACTTGAAAACACGCTGTGTTAAAGCAAGCTTATACATTTATATTGCGTTTTCTAGCATGCGCCTGACTCCGAACAGTTAGGTTCCTGCCGCCTAGAGTTCACTGTTCAGTGAGATACAAAAAATAAATAATACGACAATATAGATTGACGGTTGACGGTAGATGCCAGAGCGGAGCCGGCAAACCCTGGCTTGGAGTGAGGGGATAAGAGGAGTTTTGGGGAGCCAGACGAAATAATTAAAGTGATTCATTCTGGGGCAACTCAGCCTCTTGTTCTAGAGCTTGCCTCCCAACTCTCTTATTATTAACTTGAACTGCAGTTGTCTCACAGTGACTCTCAGAAGGTTCCCCATAGAGGCTAGCTAGCCTCTTGTACATTGATATTTATTTATTGTTTTTTTAAGTTTAGCTATCATTTATTTATTTTTGCTGTTATTTTATTTATTATTATTATTTTTTTGACATCAGTTATTTTTATCATTGATATTTATTATCAGTATTTGTATTCACTTTTTTTTCTGTTACCATGTAGTTTCTTTATGTGTGATCATCCTTGGGATTTCTCCCAAAGCTGGATCTAGCTTCGTGTGTGTGTGTGTGTGTGTGTGTGTGTGTGTGTGTATTTTAAATAGTTATTGAGAACTGGTATGCAGGTTTGGTTTATGTTACCTTCAAAATGGTACTGGGCAAAATCAGTTTGTACTACCCAGATCAAGTGTGACATAGTTTAAGAATATTAAATCTCATCATACCTCTCCTCTAGTGTCCTGGAACCATGGCACTTTGTCATGGTGTTTTCCGGATACAAAATACTGTATACCTTACAGAATTTAAAATGAAAGAAAACTATACAACATGAGTAAAATAAGAATGAAAATTTTCCTTAGTAGTTCTGTTAAGATAATTCTTTCATTTTTGTACTGAATTCCTAAACAGAATTTTGGGTTCTTCTCAGTAGAAATATCAGGAAAAGTCGAATGCTTTTGTGCTGAAGACTTGGATAATTTGCTATCTTTAACATTAAGATTATTGATGTTATATTTCACTACCTACTCATCATTATGATGAGCTGAAAACAGGAACACGTGTGTTAAGAGGCAACTTTTCTGTGTAAAAAGTATAGAACAGGTTTAAAAAGAATGTGTCATTAAAGGGTTATTTTGTTAAAGGAATATAGGTAGTAAGGAGTTTACACTATCAGGAACTTTAGAATATAGTTAAAAGAACAGACTATTGATCCAACTCTTATAGTAGAGGAGGAATTTACAGGTTCAGATTTGAGGTAACATGTTGGGGATGCTAACAGTGAACTGAAGTTAAGTTTTTTTATAGATCCCCACATTTAACCTTTACAACAACTCAGTGTAGCCCCATGCTTATCCAGTATTTACTATAGTTATTGAAGAAGAATTTGAAGGCATGGCAAAGTGACCTGCTTAGGATAACATAGCAAATGATTGGCAGAATAATAATTTGAATATGCCATTGCCTTTAAAGTCTTTTTTTCTACCTGCCATCTCATAGTGCAAATGAAAGAGATGGTTCATGAATTATTTGCTTCTCTTTGTACTGCCCCTAGTTTTACAGGTATTTATTGAGACAATCAATAAAGAAATAGCTCCCCATTTAGGGTAGTATTCCTTACCTTGCATGAGAACACTGGTGGTGCTTTGGAAAACCTGATGAATGAAAGTCCAAACTGACTTACATAAATCTCCCCATGGATGTCCTGGTGATGATGCTAATGAAGAAACTCATTATTGTTCTAGTTTATGAATGTGGAAAGGAGCTCTGAGTCAGGATCTACACCATAAGATGTTAACCAGAGTGAGTAGGGCACAAATTAAATCAGCTCATTCCAAGAATCAGATGTCTACCTAGTGACTGACTGATTAGTTATAGAAGACTTTATACCGACAAATGAATAATACATATTTAGTATTGTAGGTTTTGTAAGTCAAACTAGAATAATGTTTGAGTGAGGAGTAAGACTGAATTGAGGTGGTAGAATGGAAGGTGCTTATAAGCAATGCTCAAGGAGAAGCAAAGCTTTTATGAGAAAAGGGATTTGCAAGACTCAATTGTTGGAAAGGTACTTTAATAACAGCATAGTACAACTTGTAAAACAGAAACTGTCTTACATTTGCAGATTCAGGTGCTGTGTTTACTTTTGGGAGAACTAAATTTGCTGAAAATATGCCTAGTAAATTCTGGTTTAAGAATGACATACCAATGTATCTTTCATGTGGAGATGAACACACGGCTGTTGTTACAGGTTAGTATTTATAATCCTAAATGAGGACAATCGTAGAGAATCTTAAATATTATAAATGTGCTCTGTTTTTATGTGTATGTTGAAGATAGTTTCTTTTACTGTTCGAGAAAATTCTTCACAAATTGATTCAAGAGACTCTTCAATCTTAATTTACCTTAGTGATCTGAAGGGCACAACAGATACTGGGAAAAGGGGGAAAGCTTATTCAAAAGGAAAGAGTTGCTGAGTTGAAGAGAAGGTCAGGAAAGGGAGTGGGGGAAAGAGATTTATCTAGGTATGTAAACAGGATGGTTTAGAAACTGTACTCTGCATTTCTGCTGGTCTATGGAAAGGAGCAGATAATACTTGATTTGTTTTGTCTCCTTTTTTCAATTGTTTGTACTTTTTCTCTTCTAAATTTCTTATACGTTTCTTTCTTTTTTCTTCCAATTTTGCATGCATGTATCTGGTAATTGAATAACTGGTTGGAAGACAACATTATGTATTACAAGAAATACTGTGAAATTCATATTACTTTGTTGAGTGAAATTGTGTATCGCTTGTGATTTTTTCTGTTTTAATTCTGATATTTTCTCTTTAAAAATTAATTTGACTCAGTATATTTAATTATAATTTTCTGTATATACAGCTTTCTTGGAATAATAAATGTTTCATTATAACAATTGTTATTGTACAGCCTTAGAAACTGTGCACCTCATAGAATCTGGCTATATGTAGACAGTCAAGGTGAAGTGTCTGTTGTTTCAGTGTAAAGAAATCACTTTTTAAAAAAATAATAGTTTTTTATTGCATTTTGCTGGCTTTATGTGATGAATGCTTCAATTTGTTCTTTTTCCTTTCCATTAGGAAATAATAAACTGTATGTATTTGGCAGCAACAACTGGGGTCAGTTAGGATTAGGATCAAAATCAACTGTCAAGAAGCCAACATGTGTCAAAGGTTTGGGGTCCTTTCTTTAGTGCTTTAAATACTTCATAAACTGCAAAAAGTACTTTTGTGCTGATTGTATAATTTAATATTATAAATAATAAAGTATTTTTGTATCAAATTTGCTTGGGTATTAGTAGCATTTAACTTTATTCATTATATTAAGTTCATACCTACTTTTATATGACAGAATCTAAACATGTCACATTGACTTTAATCTTAGGAACCACAAAGGAAATGTTGATTCTACAGTGTTGTTTTTGAATGTCTCTTATTTTACCATTTTGTAAAGCCACTTAAATAAGTATTACTGTTATCGTGTATATAGAAAACACATTTTATAATGTGCTAGAATTTGAGATCTATCTTATTTATATTATAGTTATATGTAGTTTCTTGTTTTATAAAACATACTTTATCCTACAGTATACAGTAAGTAGATGAATAGAACAAACATCAAGACTAGGGATTGGTTAGTATTAGTGTATAAGGGTAACAAGATAAAATATTTGAAGTCAGGTCTGTCCCAGAATGTTTGGTATATATAATAGCCTACAAAACTTTTTCACTGTTCAATGCAAATCCTTTGGGTATAGCCTACATCAATGAAACACCTCAACATCAACTAAATTTGAAGGCTCTGGAAATGCCTTGCAATACAGTAATACCACTATATGTTATTTTTCTGGGCAAAGTTAAAATTTCAGTGTGAATTTATCATATTTACAGGTGTTATTAGACTTTTGAAGTATTCCACATGGAGAAAAAGTGTTTGTTGAGCACTGACTGCCAAATATTTGGGGGTGCTCATGGTGGTTATGGTCCTTATTCTCAAATATCTTATTTAACAGGGTAGTCTGTACTATGAGAGCAGGGACTACTGAGAGCAGGGACTCTTATTTTAGTCATTTGTGCAGATGTTATCCCAGCCACTTAGGAAATATTCTAGAATATTTTTTGAATATGTAGATGAATAAATGAGCAACTTTAGCATTCATGTATGCCTATAACTATTGAACTTAATGTTTTTTTAGAGTAGTAGATGGTGAGTTTGATAATTGTCTTAGTAACTTTTCTCTCTTTGCTGGGACAAAAATGCCTGGTGCCCAGAATTAAGGAAGGAAAGATTTATTTAACTCACAGTTTGTGGAGGTTTCAGTCTGTACTTGGCTGGCTCTAAGGCAGAGTAGCAGATGGCAGAGCGTAACAGTTCATGGTAGCAGAAAACAGAAAAAGCAGTGAGAGCAATAAAGGAGGAGCCACAGAGAGCAAGCCTCTTTCTCTCCCTTATATTATATGCAGGCTAACCTCTCCAAGGTGGATATAGTACTCATACCCATCATCCTACCAGTACTCATACCCATAATCCTAGCATTGGACCATGAGTCAATCACAAACTCTAGAAGCCCACCCCATGACTGCATGAGGCTTTGGGGGTGGCATTTAGACATGAACTATAACAGTTACGTTGGCAGGTTAGGTAAAGGATCTCATTGATGAGGAGGCAGCACAATAGAATGCAGTAGATTTCAGCACGTATTAATTACCTGTAGAGTTTCTAAAGATACACAGATGTCTAGGTTGTATCCAACACTTTCACTTTTTCCACTGTTTATTATAATGCACAACTAGTCTTGATAACTTCTGATTTAATAATTAAGAACTGTATCAACTTTGGAGTCAGGCCAGCCTCAATTCTGGGTTTGAGTGTAGCTTATTGATACACTTTAGGCTTAGTTGTTTACAGCTCTGAGTTTGATTACTAGCACCATAATAAATAAAGTTTAGTTCTATTACTTAATTACCACTTGACTGGGATTATTTATCATTTTCATCTCTGTAAGATGCTTTAATTGTCAAAAAAGATAATTGTCATATTTTAATTTTAGCTCTTAAATCTGAAAAAGTCCAACTTGCTGCCTGTGGAAGGAACCACACTCTAGTTTTAACAGGTATAGTTTCAAACTTTATGACCTGCCTGGCATTGAAAATTGAGGTCTTGTTCAGTAACATTTGTGGCTTTGTAAGGTTCATGGAAATGGTACTTTGGCAATAGTTAGATTAGGGTCTTTAAAATGTAAATATTTAGAATACATATTTGCCTTTGCAAATATGCAGATAAGTCTTAAACAAATGAAGAAAAACTTTTCTAGGGCTGGCCAAATAGCTCAGGGGATCAAAGCGTCTGCTTAGGCAGAGGCAGGGGCTAGGGGTTTGATCCTTGGACATGTGTGCCGGCCCCGCCTCCAGGGCAAGCTGAGACAGTGAAAGAGACTGGGCATGATGGTGCGTGCCTGTAATCCCAGCACTTGGGAGGCTGTAAACAGGAGGATCACTTTGTGTCTGACCTATGTAGTGAGACCCTGTACACCCTGTACACCCTGTCCTAAAATACAAAAAAAGGAAAGAAAAACTTTTCTTAGATAACATCCAGACACAGCATCTCTTTACATGTGGGCACATCTCAAGGGCTGGTTCCTCCTATTCTTTTTCTTTGCAGTTTTTCAACTTAACATTTATAAGGTCTTTATTTTACTTGTCCCATCCATGATGAAGCACTTTTATATTATATACATTTTTATTAACATTCGCCTTTGTACTATGTGACAAGAATAAAAGCGTTTATTTGCTCAATACATTAAATAATTTGGCTTCAGCTTTGACAGTTTAAAATGGCATAAACTGACAATTCTAGATTTATGCCCAGAAATATGTTTTTGTATTTTATTACTCTATGTGTAGCAATTTAGACTTCATGCTTCTGAACTAGTGTTAATAATTACTGTCAAATCATTCATACTGATTAGTACTATTGCTCTTCTGTCTTTCTTGAGGGTCACTGGAAGCTAAGCAAAAGGCTATTTGAATCCCCTCAATTCCAGTTAAAATCCGAACAGGCTGTGTGTCTGTGTGTTGAATTTCATAAAGTAATTCTAAAATTTATATGGAAGATATAAGGGCAGAGAGTAGCTAAACAAGTTTTCAGAAAAAATGACATTGGGAGACTGGTACTACTGAATCAAGATCTATAAAGCTATAATAATCAAAGGACGGTGTGGTATTGGCAAAAGATAAACAAAGATTAATGAAACAGGATAGAATCTAGAAATGGACTCACACATACATTCTGAACTGATATTTGACAAAGATGCTAAAGCAGTTCATTGGAGAAATGGATTATATTTTCAATAAGTGCTGCTGAATAGTTAGTCCCTGATTCCTAAGAAGCCCTTATTTGTACTCCCTACTCTTCCTGTCCCAGCATCTTCCATGTTCAAGCTGTTCTCTGATTTGGCTCTTCCTCCTTCTTGGCCTTTTTTTTACACTTTTTTCCCCTTGTTGATAGAGGGAAGATGGTATATACTGACTTATTTCATAAAGAATGTGACTATAGGATATTAATGTTTGTTTTCAATGTACAGAAGTAGGTAATGTATATGCAGCTGGAGGAAATAATGAAGGGCAGTTGGGCCTTGGTGATACTGAAGAGAGAGACACGTTTCATCATATTAGCTTTTTTACATCTGAGCATCACATTAAACAGCTCTCTGCTGGATCTAATACTTCAGCTGCGCTATCTGGTGAGAATTGTTTTCATTTTAATCTGGGACACATCCTTTCCTTCATACCAGAATATACCAACTCAACTCAAGATAGCATTGCTTTTTAGTTTTCTTTCATTGAATGTATGTATTCAGAAGACACTTAAATAACATTATTTAAAGTGAGATATAAATATACATTTGGGGGGCTATTGGTAAATAAATTCTAACCTCTACTTCTCATATACTCCTTTAGATATTAAATGACTTTCATTGCATGTTAAGAAAGTTAGTTGCAACTTTGACTGAAATTGCATATGTTGTTAAAATATAGTTTGTAGTGGGCATTGTGTCACTTTTTCCTGTCAAAACTGCACAAGAGAACATTTTTTAAAATATTGGCACAATGATCACTTTGGTCTTACTGAAGTTGCTGATTTGCTGCTGGTTTGCTCTAAGCAGGGAACTGTGTGAACATCCAGTGTTGCTCTGGACCTCAGCAAAGTCACAGTAGTATGTGAAGCTCTGTGACCTAATTTCATAAAATATAGTTAGATTTTCAGTATCCTTTCAATTCTTTTCAGTTACCATTTTACTTGCTTTAAGATTAAGTAACTTCAAAAAGATTAACGTTTTTAAAAATTGAAAGAAGTAAATAAATATTGATAATTTATAAAAATCTTCATCTTTATGTGCCACTGCAATTTAACTGAAGGAACATCAAATTAACATGTGTTTGAGATAATGTATGTGGTATTGTTTCTCATTCTCAGAAGCTAGAGTCTGAATTTTCAGATCTAAATTACAAGAAAAATGCAATAGTGAAATAATTTTTTTCTTTTTAAAACAATTTCCAAGATCCAGGCATGGTGGCGCATGCCCGTAATCCCAGCACTCAGGAGGCTGAGGCAGGAGGATCTTTACAAGTTGGAGACCAGCCTGAGCTACAAAGTGAGCTCAAGGGCAGCGTGAGCTACATAGTGAGATCCTGTCTCAAAAAGACAGAAGAAAAATTCTGTAGGGTTCTCAAAAGCAAGATTTCTTACTCCTTTTTGACCTGTGACTTGCTTTTTTGACTTCGGGATATACATTATGAGTCATATTGTCACCCAGTTCAATGGCAGGTCTATTGGCTGGAAGAAGGAAAACATTTCTGTTTATAGAGACACTGCAATAGAACAAGGTGATTACAGAAAGTGGCATCCTGAGTTTGCTGTTGACATAAAAATATGGATAGAATTAAAGTGATTTACAGTCAAATCACTTTACATCTAAGCATCACATTAAACAGCTCTCTGCTGTTTAATGGTGCACATTAAACACCACTCTTTGTTCTTTCATTATGTAAATATTATACAACTGAATCTGAATTCTTAAGTAGCTAGCTGGTATAAATGTCTTAGAATTATTTCTTGAACACAATTTTCTAAATTAAAAACTAAGTGGCCCTGCAACCTTTTTAAAACTTTTTTTACCCTTGTGTTTCTTTTATAGAGGATGGACGACTTTTTATGTGGGGTGACAATTCTGAAGGGCAAATTGGTTTAAATGATGTCATTAATGTGTGTGTCCCTCATCAACTGGACATTGGGAAACCAATATCTTGGATCTCATGTGGATATTACCATTCGGCTTTTATAACAAGTAAGACAGAACATGTTGGACTTATAATGTCCTCTCACTTCAAAGTTATTTCTAAATTAATAATAAAATGATAAAATATTCTGTAGTTCCAAAGGAGTAATGCCATGAATGTCCATGTATTGGGATAATTTGGATCTGCTTTACCTCATAGTGTTTCTCTGTTAGAGCTTGTAATTTGAAACTCTGACCTGTTAGCTTTTTAGTGAATTCCAGATCTGTTAGAGATTAAAATTTATATTTTAGAACCCCTTCTCAGCTTGCTTCTCAAACTTCTTTGGCTGCTTTGGTATTGAAAACAGGACCTATAGACCACTTTCCTTTGGAACTACTCATTTCTATCCTTTGGCCTACAGTGCTGTCATACCGATAATTTCTTTTATTGTTCCAAATACATTGAGCCCTATTCTTTCCTTGCAGGAAACTGGATGAAGACTAGATAGAAAAGGAGAGCTCAGTATAAGATATAGTTTCCTTTGTCGGGATATTTCTCAGCATCCCCAAGTTTCTCTCTTTCTTGGGCCCACTGGCAATCTTTTGTATCTTAGTTAAGGTATTTGAAATGTGAAGTATAATTATACCTTTCTTTTTCATTAATGATTATTTACACAGTAAAAAGTTTGAGAGAAAATAGTTCTGTGGACTTTATTAAGTATGTCCCTACATCTTCATTTTACATATTTACTGTGTATTGCACTTACTGGGTATCAGGTTTAGAAAGTATTAATTGGTCAATCCCAGTCCCCTGTACTCCAGCATACCAAGATTGGGCCAGGCTGACTTTGTCAATGCAGTACTGTTCCCTACTGTATTCCTGATGTCATGAACAAACTAATAAATATTATGAATGGAAGGAGTGAGTGAGTTTTATTAATAAATTCTGCTTTAACCATAAAAGAAACAAGAAGACTTAAAAATCTCCACTAACAGTCATACATTGAGGTTTTTTTTTGTATCTTAAGAAAAGCTTTGGGGCCAGGGAAATGGCTCAGTGGAATAAGCGCTTCCCTGGCAAGTGCAAGGGCCTGAGTTCAATCCCTGGTTCCGCAAAAAAAAAAAAAAAAAAGAAAAGAAAATCTTTATTTAAATATAATTATCATAAATATTGTTTACCTATTTAAAATTATAATTTAATATTTTGCAGTACGTACCACAAACTTTTTTTTAATGGTGAAAAAAATATGTATTTAGAATTAGCCAGCTGTACTCAGTTTAGATGATCCCAGTTTTGTTGACAGCATCAAATGCATCATAATCAGGAGCAAGTCAAATGAATGCCTTCTTCTCTACATTAGCCTTGATTAGGGGATTGACCTTGGCCACATCAGTGTCGTGGAGCTTCTTTACAGCTTGTTTGATTTGGTGCTTATTGGCTTCGACATCCATAATGAACATGAATGTGCTGTTGTCCTCGATCTGTTTCATGGTTGACTCCGTTTTCAGGGGGAACTTGATGGCACAGTGGTCAAGCTTGTTTCTTCTGGGGGCACTCTTCCGAGGGTATTTGGGCTGCCTCTAGAGCTGCAGTGTCTTGGGATGATGGAAGGTGGGTGATGTTCGTGTCTTTTTGTAGCTGTGGATGGCTTTCAGCACGGCCTTCTTGGCCTTCAAAGCTCTTGCTTTGGCTTCAGCTTTGGGAGCGGCAGCAGCTTCCTTCTTCGCCTTTGGCGCCTTCTTGGTAAAAAGGCCATACGACAAACATTTATACTAAATGTTTTGCTAAAGATTCATTTATATCAGCTGGTGTAAATTATCAGTAATATTCACAGCCATTATTTTATGATTTTCATGATTTTTTTTTGTGTGTGTAGGGTCTCACTACACAGCTCGAACTCAGTGCTCCTCCTGTTTTTAGCCTCTCAAGCACTGGGATTACAGGCAACTTTCATGATTAATTTATTTTTTATTAATTTAATTGAGAAATAAATAGCAATGAGACAGTTTCAAAACATGTTAATAGGACAGTTACAATAATTAATCCATTGCACATTGTTGTCTTTGTAGTAGTTATTCATACTACAAGATAGACATGATATATTGTCTAAACATATTAGTATAAATCTTCTCATTGAATTAAGAGAAAGTAGCTGTATATTTATCCTATTTTGTATATACAGATAAATATTTCAGTACAAAATGGCCCTTCATTTATATCTTACTTTTTTGCTTAGTTTTGTCAGAGATGGGTATTCTGTTGCCATTTAAATATTGTAAAAATTTTGCATGAATTCAGAAAAATATTCCAATATAGTCCAGTAGTCCATAATAGTTGTGCATTATCAGAAGACTGGTAATGTTAGAAGTTGTTGACTTCAGCCTTTTACAGCCCAGTACATTAATATGGCTTTACTTTTTATACCTCATTTTTATACTTTTCTGCTGGATGGTTAAGACCAAGATAAAGCAAGACCTATATAACAAAAAATGTAACTTTTATATCTGACAAGGTCTGTCAAATCCCCTCAGGATTTACCCTGAAAACCTGTACCACAGTTTGTAGATCTTTTGTCAGTGTCAGCCATATGGATGAGTCAGGGCCGTTGCTTGACCAATTTGCCCTCTGTGAAAGCCTGAGAGAATGTTTTCTCTCTGGGTGACTCTCTTTAGACACAATATACATTGTCAATCACTTTCCCCTGAGGCCCCTTAATTTCTTTGATCAGAAAATTTGGGACACCACTGAGTTATAGGATGTTACACTACAGGTTCTCTTATGTCCTGAGTCCTCACTGACCTTGAATGGCTAGGACCAAAATGTTGGGTATCCTTGCAGCCCTTGTTTTTCTCCAATTTTTGGTCTTCAAACTTAGGTTGTTAATCCTCCAGAAGAGAAGTTGAATGATATTATTACCCTATAACATAGGCAGTTGAGCTTAACTTCACTATCTGTCTGAATATCAAACATATTAGATATAACATGGAACAGGTATTTTCCATCAAGTATTGATATGTTAAACTTTAAATCCCTACAGAATGTGAAGGAAAAAAATTTAAAAAATAGAAATAAACAATTAAATATTTTTACACAGAAATTTAGAAGTCTAACCATATACAGAGTTGTATTTTTTTCTTTTTTTCCCCAGTCATTTTTTATTTTGTTTTTTTTTCCATAATTTCATTGAGAAGCAAATAGCAATGAGACAGATTCAAACCAAATTGGTAGGACAGTTTCAATAATTAACACATTGCATACATTCTTCCTAGTGGTTATTTGCTGTATAAGATACAGACATGATATCCTATTTACAAACACTATTAGAACAGATCCCTCTATTCATTAAGAGAATGTAACTGTATATCTATCATAACCATTTTGAATACACAGATACAAAAGGGACATTCATCTGTATCCCCTTTTTTGTTTAGTTCTGTTATTTGAATATTATAGGTGTGTTAACTCAGCAAAATATTACATTCTCTTAATGAATAGAATGATATGTTCTAATGGTGTTTGTAAATAGGATCTCAAGTATGCATCATGTACAGCAATTAACCACTAAGAAGAATGTATGCAGTGTGTTAATTATTGAAACTGTCTTACCGATTTGATTTGAAACTATCTCATTGCTATTTACCAATAAAATTATGGAAAATGAATAAATAAATTAACTAATTAAAAAAATAAACAGCCCAGAAGGAAGCAAGAATCAAAGATCAAAAATAAAATAAAATAAAAGAGTCCAGTAGCAGGACAGTCCTATGACTTTTTTTTCTTGTCTCTTGCTTTCATTTATTACCCTTTTTTTAAACAAACATTTACTTGAGAGACAGTGTAGCAGTAATTGATATGACATTAGAAGCAGTATGTATTTAGAAGATCAGAATGACAGGTATTCCAAGCATGATCCTAGTATTACACATTGCTGTCTTCAGCGCAGTTGCTTAGTTCACAGGTATCAGTATGTATAGTCAGGGTGAGAATCCTACCAATTAACTGCTAGATTCGAAAACCTGCTGAAGGTTCTCAGGATCATTACCTTAACCATCTTGTGCATATAAATGTATGGTTTTGCCCCAGTCACATTTCCTAACTTTTCTCCTTGCCCTCTTTGCACTATTTAATTCTTAAGTTCTTGCTTTCCTTTTAATTGTGTTATAACTTTCTATTTTTGTTCCTTGTTCTGAGTTCTTACTCTGGAGAGACTATATGATATTTACACGTGTGAGTCTGGTTTATTTTACTTATGAGTATATCTTCAAGTGGCATCCACTTGTCTATAAGGGCTGCGAGTTTATCATTCTTTATAGCTGAATAATACTGCATTGTATAAAAGTACCACATCGTTTTCATCCATTCTTCAGGTGATGGGCATTTTGGTTGCTTTCAAGATTTGGGTATCACAAATTGTGCTGCTATAAACATAGGTACACATATATCACTGTGATATGATGTTTTCAGTTCTGGGAAGATTCCCAGTAGGGGGATAGCTGGAGTGAATGGGATTTCCATTCCTAGTTTTTTGAGGAGCCTGCATACTGATTTCCATAACGGTTGCACCAGTCTACATTCCCACCAGCAGTGGAGAAGGTTTCTTTTTCCCCACAGTCTCTCCAACATTTGTTGTTAGTTGATTTCTTTGTGATAACCATTCTTTGTGGGGCGAGATGCTATCTCAGTTTTGTTTTAATTTGCAATTCATGGATGGCTAGTGATGTGGAGCATTTTTTCATATATTTATTCGCTTCTTTAATTTCATCCTCTGAGAAGTGTGTTCATCTCAGATGCCCATTTCGGACTTTCATGATTTAAAGCAACTTTTTCCACACCGTGGAAATAATTCAAGTGTAGTTTTTCTTAATTTAGATTTTATGATAGGGAAAATGTTACATAGAAAGAGAGTGTATTGAACTTATCTCTGTATGATGAGTTGGGAGACCAAAAGGAGTAGATTTTTTTTAAAGTTCTAAGGGCTGAACGAAAGGTTTTTGTGCTGAGCTACATCACACCCATTTTTAAATTTTATTTTAAAGGAGGGTCTTGCTAAGTTGTTATTGCCTAACCTGGGTTTGAATCCTCCTGCCTCAGCCTCCCTGAGAACAGTTTAATTTTTAATGGAAGTGCAGAACATATTAGTGAGAATGCCATGTTTTAGATGTGCAACAAATGTGTAAGTTACTAATATATTTGAATGCTTAACTTTATAAGTTATATAAAATAGTTTTTAAATATTAGAAGTAAAATACATGAAAGTTTTGAGTATTATCCTTGATTTCTATGTCTTCATTTGACGTGTTAATGGTTGGGTTTGAGTATTTCAATCAGTGATTCATACAGTGAGAGGGAACTAGGAACAGGACCGTTAGAAGATGTAAATGAATGAGTTTTTTGGAATGGGGAAGAGATATGTGTAGCAGTCTTCAAAAACTGGAGAAAAGATACCTAGCAGAGTGCTTAATGTTAGAATCTTGGAAAAGGTTGCTATCTGAAGAATCCAGATACAATAAAAATTAATAGACTGAAGTAACACTAAGTACATAAGATGAAGTGTTCTATTTCTTCATTCATGATAAATGTTATACTTTTGTGTGTAAATAAAACAAGAATTTGTAACTAAATGGAACACTTCGTGTGGATTAAATGTGTTTCTCTTCCCCTTTAAAGAAAATCTTACTGATGGTGACAGGAAATATCTTTCATAACCTTTGATAAGTATACATTTTACTTTAAAAACTTGGCACTGAGAATGTTTCAGTAGTTTACTACATAAAGTTCATCTTAAAGGGTGTGTTTTAAATACCAAATTGATTAAAATGTAGTACTAATCTCTTGTTCATAATCTTCTAACTCCATGATATATAAAGTTTTGCTATCTGCAAAGCTTTTGATTTTTTTTTTTTTTTGTGGTACTGGGAATCAAACTCAAGGCCTCGAGCTTGCCAGGCAGGTGCTGTGCCACTGAGCTATATCCCCAGACCTACAAAACATTTTTAAGTTTCAGTATATTCTGCTTAATCTCAATGACTTTGTGAGTCAGGTGATGGTGATTCTGAGCTCATATATGGAGGCAGGATTATAACATGTAGCTTTATCCAAAGTGGTGCTGAAATTGAGTTGCAGAACCAGAATTTGGATCTCAATCTTGAAATTTTACAGGCCTGAGCAACTTATATTGATGCACTATTTCTACATATACACAAAGGTGTGGTAGCAATTGATAATAACTGGGTATTGACTGTGTTCAAGGTACTTATGAATGTAGAAATTTACTAGTTCCTATGTTTGAAACAACAACCATATGGCACAGGCATATCCCATTTTATCTATTTCACAGGCACAGTGATTGTTCATTATGACTCAGAGACAGTATTATATAAATGAATAAGTGCTTGCTTTCAAGAAGCTTGCAATCATAATATAGTGTGAGATGTGGACTATAGAAGAAAACAGTTGTCACTATGGATGAGCTAGTGATTTTCAGACCTCCTTAGTAAAAGAATGTGGAGTAACATTTAAGTAAAATCTGCTATCTGAAGACTCACTCAAATATATAATTCACAAATAAGTGAGTTTTCTAAAACAAGTTTCATAGGATGCACTTATTTATTCATTAAATATTAATTAGATGCTTGAACTACATACTCTGCTAGGTTTTTGGATCTCATAGAAACACAAATATCCTTATGGGAGCTGTTTACATACTTCTTTTGCCTTATTTAAAAGTGTATGTAGGATAGATAGGCTTTGGTTTATTCTATGAAAATAATTGTAGAGTTATTTACCAGTAGTGGTTGTCACGAATTCTTTGTGATGATTGTTGAAGTAGAATAATTATGAGGAAAAGAAAATATAACAAAGCCAGGAGTGGTAAATAAACCTTACCATATAGAAAAATATCTTAAGAAAAATCAAATTTATTAAGTTGTCATTGTCTGCATTGTTATTGAGCATAAAAACATGGACAGAAATTCCAGTATGTAGTTCATACTTACATGTTCATCAGTCGCTTTATTTTTCTTTCAATAGTTGATGGTGAACTGTACACATTTGGAGAACCTGAGAGTGGAAAACTCGGTCTTCCTGAAGAGCTTCTGATCAATCACAGAACACCTCAGCTCGTGGCTGGCATTCCTGAGAAGGTGATCCAAGTAGCTTGTGGTGGAGGGCACACTGCAGTTCTCACAGGTATGTGTGGACCCTGCTGCTCAGTTCCTTGTTTTATAGTAGATAATGACATTTTAAAAAATGATCTTTGTGTTATTATGATAAAAAGCATTCAAAATGAGACCTAATCTCAATACAGATTTTAAGTGTATAATGTAGTATTATTTATAGACAATGTTGTAGAGCAGATCTCTAAAATCTTTCTTGTGTAACTGATACTTTGTGTATGTCTTTCAGCATTTCTACCACCTCTAGCTGCTGGCAACCAGTTTCATTCTTAACATCTATGAGTTTGAGTCTTTGAGATCCCTTATGAAAGCTGGTCTTGTATCGCCTATTAAG